TTGTATGGTGTATCATGTGCAAGTAAAGGAAGGGAGCTGAGGTCGTGAGGAAGCGTCGTATGAGCTTCAGTGCTGAGCACTTGTAGGATCCCTGAGCATTGTCCCTTTGATGGACACTGACTCTTACACTTGTATCAGGGCCTGAGGCTGCTTCACACTTGCAGATAGCAACTAGAGTATGAGCGTTGAAGGATCAGCACTGCACTTTTCTGGTTACTGATAACTGCGGGGCTGCACTCCTGCGGATGCTCTGAGCTGTTGGATGCGAAGGGTTTTTTACTCTTGGGAGCATGCATGGGAGAGGGCTGCAACATGAGATGAGCTCGAGTTGGGGGGAAAAGACAGCTTAAATGTAATGTTGTTTTGGAAGAATATTTCCATTAATTCAGAGCTCATGCAAAACCCCGTTCCAACAGTAGCTACCCTGAGGCTGAGCCCATAGAGATGCAGGATGCAGCCTGGAGAGATGCAGTTTGCCATGCTGGTCCCTAGCAGCTGGCTTCTATTTCAGGCTGCACTGTCTCTGTTTAGATTTCATCCAGCCCAGTGGTTTTTACAGCCACTGGAGCACCGGGAAGCACCCTGCAGCACCGCAGGATATTGGCTACTCTGTGCTCATGCCTACAACCCGCATGAGTTGGAAGTGCCTTTTTTTTTTTTCCTTCTCTATTTTATTAATCTTCCTTTTGAAATTCTGCAGGGAAATTCACTGCTCATTTATTTATTTGTTTGTTTGTTTGTTTTCATTTTTCAACCTGAGGAAGGGGGTGGAAATCGCTCTTCTTCTCCCCCAGCAACCCAGCGCGCCTCCAGCACCCCACAGGGCAGGAAAACGAGCACACTGTGGGGTCATCCAGCATTCCTGCTTTCTGGAAAGCAAGGGGAAAAAAAAAAAGAAAGAAAGAAAGAAAAAAGGATTTTAAGAGAATCACATTTTAATCTGCCAAAAAATGAATGGCATCAACAACATTTCCCTCTCTACCGATGCACTGCCCAGAGCCACATTGGGCTGCTGGTGGCCGCGGTGCATCGTCCTGCTGGTGGTGGCTTTGCTGTTCCATCGTTTGCCTCCCCATTAATCTCGGTGCAAACAAAGGCTCTGAAAAGCTCCTGGGGGTCCGTTGAAATCAGCTCTTTCTAATAATGGCTGTCGACCTCTCCGTGGAAGCGCCGCTCCCCTAGGAAAGGACGCAGAGCGGCGGCCGCGCGCTGAAATATGGTGGGGTGTAATTAATTCTGACCTCTGGCTCCCGTGCGCTCCTCTCGATATTAAATTGGAGCAGTGATATTGTGGGGTTTCAATTATCCCTCTTTTCTTGGGGGCATGGTGGGGTGGGAGCGGCTCAGATGCACTCCACTCCCCATGTTCTTCCTGAATGGAGGTGCTCAGTGGTGCTGCATGGGGCTGTTACCCTTCCCAGTGGTGCAGGATATTATAGATGGGAGTCCCCAAAATTCAGTGCTTTATGGCTTGCTTGCCATAGAGCTTGCTTTCTGCCTGTGCTTTTGGCTGGGTGTGGAGCTGGGAAGCGGTTTGCACTACAGGGCAGGAACTGGGATGTAGGTTTGGTGAAATGCTTCTTGGGGTCCCCATACCCAGCAGTAAGAGGGGATTACTGGAAAGCACAGTTGCTTCATCCCCCCACTGCTCTGGGATGTATCCAGCCAGTGGGACAGAGCCGGGTTGGGGGGAGGAGAAGGGAAATTCAACAACAACAACAAAAAAAGGGAAACAGCACTTGCTGCAAAGCGAGCGAATTCCCCAATAAACCCGAATCTGCTGAGAATACATTTTACAAACATGCAGCTAAGTTGGCTGCTTTTGTTTGGGCGTTTGTTAAGCATTAACTAAAGAATGCCATGGTCCAGCCTGCTCGGTGTGAAATCTAATTCTCCCCCTTTCTGGAGCCATGGCATGGAGTGCTCAATTTTTTTCTCTCTGTAGGACTGCAGCCTTCTGGTACTGCGGCCAAAAACCACTCATATTTTAGCAAGCTTAGCCCAGGCGCCGTTGCCAGGCAGTAAAGGGAACACTTGTCCGCCTCGGGGGGAGGAGGGGGCAGCAGGGAGACAGAGGGGTCAGGGGACAGCCCGGGGCATGGGCTGGGGGAGCACTGGCGCCCCACTTTGGGGACCTATAGGGACAGGGCAACCTGGAATGAGCCACATCCCAAACCCAGTGCTGGGTGCTGGGGTTGACAGTGATCGGTGTTTCTCCACAGCCCCACTCCCACTGTCCCCTGTCCTGTGAGTGAGGAGGTGGCTGGGTGCCAGGACATCTCAATTCGGTGGCACTGAGCCCCTCTCCCCGTGCCTCTCGCTGTCCCCATGCGTCTGTCCTCTTGGGGGTGAATGTGCCATCACACCCCCTGGAAGAAGCCATGCCCCATGGCTTTCCCTGCCCTAAGGATGGCCCCTGTGGCTGGGGCTGACCAGAGAAGGGAACACGGATGCTGCAAAGAGCATCCCAGGGGGGTGTGAACCCACCCGGCAGAGCTGCACCGAAACCAACCTCAGTGGTGTTTGGGATTTGTCCGTCAGTGTTGAATATCACTGTTCTCAACCCGGAGGGGCTCCCGTTTGTATGCGGCGCATGCAGGCAGCTGGAGACAGACAGCAGCCGGGAAGCGCCCGTCAATCACAGCCCCTTTCAAAGCATCACCTCCACATAAAGGAGTACAGAGGGGGCAGCGGGTGCTGCGATGGCCCCATGGGAAAGTGTGGGTCAGGGATGTGGGATGTAGGGTGTATGTTGTGGGATGTGTGATGTGGGATGCAGGACATAGGATGTGCTGCCGTTATGATAGCTTCGGGCTTTGGCCATGTGCAGAAGCTGGCAGCTTTCAGTGATTCTGTGAGGATGGGGAATGCAGAATTGATAAATACTCTCTTCCAGGGTTTTGCTGAGGCTTTCGATGGGTCTCTGAGCACCTGGTGGAGCTGTAGGTGACCCTGTCCAGTGCAGGGAGGTTGAACCAGATGGCCTTTAAGGGTCCCTTTCAGCTCAAACCATTCTGTGATTCTTTCATGAAGATCTGCTTGCACTGTCTTAGCAGCTTATCAGAGGTTTATCACTGAGAGCACAGCAATCCCAACAGGTAAGGCTTGCACTCCATTTAAACAGGATGAGGATGCATTACCCTGTGGGTACAAATTGCCTCCCTTTGACATAAGAGAGACGTAATGACAGACGGAATGAGCGCAGCGCTGACACTGGGCTGCCTTCCTCATGGCTGGAACAGCTGAAAAGCACAACAGGTACCTTCAGGGACTCTGTGCCCTATCCCTTGAGCCCTCAGCACTCAAGGAGGGTGGGAGTCCTCCCTCCAGCTGTGTGCACATCTGGCAGCTGGGGGCAGTCCCCTCCCGGTGCTTGTCCCGGCGGGCATTGCTGGTCACTGAGGCGGGCACAGATGCCACCAGCTGCTGCCTGCTCATCCCCTCAGGCTTGCACAGCTGAGAGATACTGAGCCACTGTTGGGTGAGGAAATGAAAGGAAGACATTTCCCCCCCCCCAGTTTTTGATGGGTTTATCCTGTACATCTGTTTCTCTCCTCTAAGCAGCAGGGCTGACTCAGCACTTTGCATTCCTGAGGTGGTTTTTTTTTGTAAGTGCACCCACAAAATAAGGGCTAAAACTGTGGCTCTTGGGCAGGCAGCTCCATTCCTAGAGATCACGCAGGGATGAGGGAGACGGGCAGAGGAACAAGCACGCAGTGCTGCTGGAAGTGTTTAATCAGAGCTCGGTGACCTTTTGTATTAAAAACCAGTAATTCCAGCAGTGAACTGGGGGCCTGAACAGCTGAGGCGAAGCAGTGGTGTTCCCATGCAGGTCCTGCCTGGGGACACATCCAGGGCACCAGGGACGCACGTAGATAACCTCAGATGTGTGCTGACTTCAGCCTTCTCTTTCTGGGTCAGAGTCATCAAAACAGAGAATACTGATGTCCTGTTCCCACAGATATTTAAGACAAGGCTGGGTAAGGAGTGAGGTTTTTTTTTTAATTTTTTTTTATGGTATCCAAGCCAAAAGCATAGATGACTGGGGTAGTGGGGAGGTTCTATTTTGATACCTCCAAATTTTGCACTGAGCTCTCAGCCCAGGTTTGCCTCCACGCTCGGTTTCCCCAGCTGTAAATCAGTGATTGTGCTGCTGAGCTTCTTGATCAGGGCACTAAAAGTCAAGGACAAGCTCTGCTTAAAGCTATAGGTTATTGCTCTCATTGTTATTATTACGGACTGTACAATTAAGAATGCTGCAACCATTGTCACATCACTGCCAAAGAACAATCTGAGCTTCTTTTCCATTTGGTCAACAAGTCAACAAGACCATAATGAACAGCAGAGGTGTGGCACCATGAGGGCCATGGTCAGTGGGCACGGTGAGAGTGGGTTGATGTTTGGACTGGCAGATCTTACGGTCTTTTCCATTCCATGATTCTATGATTCTAAGTCTTCAGTTCAGCCCTAACCTCACTGCCCTGGTGAAGTTTGGGGCACCTCAGTGCACTCTGTAGCCAAGATGGGGCCATGGCAGTGCCCTGCTGCCAGCCTGGGCCATCAGTTACGGTTGTACTGGAAGATCTTGGTGGTCTTTTCAACCTTAATGAGTCTGTGATTCTATGGGGTTTTGGAGGGGTCTCCATGGCAGCCTCCAGTTGGATGAAGCTGGATGGGTAGGTTGGCTTCCTAACCAGTAAGTGATGTGTCCTTCATCCCATGGTGGGAATTGTGCTGTTAGGGGTTTGGTGTTGATTTATTTGACATCCGAGCATTGGGGTCTTCATCTTTCATGGTTCAGCCATAGCTGAACAAAATCCACCAACATTGACCCAAACCAGCATCCCCCATACAAGGTCAATGCGTGACATCACACCGTCACGTGTGTCCTTTTGGCACATCCACAGACGAGGTGACAAAATCACTCTGTACTGATGCCCACCAACCCCACCGCAGCTCCCTGGGGTGCCATCCCATGGGGTTTCACCTTGCTCCCACAGGTTGTTCGCAGTGAAGTGCGCCGGGTGCTTGGAGAGCATCGCGCCCAGCGAGCTGGTGATGCGTGCCCAGCAGAGCGTCTACCACCTGCACTGCTTCTGCTGCTGCGTCTGCGAGAGGCGCCTGCAGAAGGGCGACGAGTTTGTGCTGAAGGAAGGGCAGCTGCTCTGTAAGGGCGACTACGAGAAGGAGCGTGAGCTGCTGAGTTTGGTGAGCCCGGCTCTGTCAGATTCTGGTAAGGGGACATCTGGTCAGCATTGCCCCGATCTGCTGTTCCTGCCCTGGGGTCACTGGGGGAAGAATTCTGTTGTAGAGCTGAGGTGGGATGCTGCAGAAATAAGGCAGGGGGTGGAACCCCTGGGGCAGCACCAGTGGTGGGATATCGAGATCAACATTTAGACCTGAATATGCAGTTGATGCAACTCATGTCTGCGTGATTCCCAGGATGACAAATGTAGGGAGAAACCCAGCAAAATTGGAAATGAGCTGTGAGCAGAAAGCACTGGGTTAATGTTTCCCTAATAAAGGCATTGGTGCTTCCCAAACTATGGAAAAAGAAGGTCGCTGTAGGGAAATCTGCTTTGTGGAGGGAAGGATTTACCTTTGCATGGACGGGACAGGGGTATGAATGAAGCAAGACAACAGCTCTTTAATATCAAACTCACACAACCTCCCCCTCCGCCCCAAAACAACAACAACAACAAAAAACAAAACAAAAAAAATCTCTCCCCAGATAGCAGTGATGGTAACAAAAAGTGAAGGAGAACAGCAAGGGTGGACCACAGTGCTGGAACCCTGGGAAAGTGTGCTGGGGATGTCCTAGTGGCTGCGGCACAGGGAGTTCTGCTCTATGGGGGATGCAAACGCCTTTAGTTAAAATAGGAACTGAGGAAAAAATGTCAGGCAGGAAAAGAACAGAATCAGCTGCTGATCCCACAACAATTTGAGTTTGTTCCGACTGGGGGAAAAGGGCACTTTGGGAAAGGTTGGGGAGCTTTTCTCCCCCGTGGCTCATCAGCCCATGGCCGGCCCCGCTCCCAGCTGCTGGCCAAGATGAGGGCTTTGCGTTGCAGAAATTCCCCAGGAGCACACTACTTTCAGTAGAAAAGTCCCAGCGGAGTCATGCAGAGGGACAGCATGGGGCCCACCAGTGCCACGCACCCCCTTCGATGGTGGGAGCCCATTCTGAACCCTCAGCACCTTCAGATCCCTCATCCAGGGTTGCAGCTGGGTGTCCCCGCAGGGCTGTCTGCTCCTCCAACCCCCCCATTCTCTGCACAGTAAAGGCCACTTTATGAGAAAGTGCAGATAAAAAGCAAGCCATATGTTGCCTGTAATCTCCCCAACCCTCACTTCAATTACTGCCTCCTCCGAGCCCACCACAGCCGAGCCTAAGCAAACAAGCCCCTCTGAAAGAGGACCCCGGTTTCCAATTAAAAGCGTCCTAACTGTTCTCCTCTTCCTAAATCCTCCCAGGCGAGGAATGTCCCGGCCCTGCTGCGGCCACACTGGCCCCCCCGTGCCGGCAAGTCGGGCTGGGGGCATGCACAATGTCCCCCACCCTGGCCCCTTCCCAGGTGACGTCAGGGGCAGCCCCAGACAGTCATTAATTTCCCCCCTCGTTGGGGAAAGGCTTGAAAGGGAGAGTTAATTAAAAGTAATACCCAGCCAAATCCGGCTCCACTTCTCCTTTGACACATGGAGGGATTTGGGGAGCAGGTGCTGGGGGAATGGAAAGGGGGGTAGTGATCGGAGTGGGTTTTTCCCCTTCCCAGAGCACGGCAGTGTGGGCCTGAGCATTGTGTGCTGAGCTCATCCCCTTTGAGACTAGGGATACTGGGGCAGGCACCCCTTGCGGCGGTGCAAAGGCATCTCAGTGTCTCCATCAGTGCAGGTCTCAAATCCAGGCATTTGTTAAACTTCTTCCCCTCCACCAAAAGTAAACTCAATGGTGAAACTCACATCCAGATCCCAAAAAGCCACTTAAACACCTACTGGGAGTTGACTGATCGGTGTGGCCATGGGCACAGCATCCCTCTTCCTGGGAACCATTGCTCCGGTGCCTTTGGGCACTACCAGTGCTGTGTTGCATGTGGAAGGTGTCCCAAGATGATAAGCACAGGAGACATCCCACAAAGCAGGAGTGAGTGGGGATCATCCTCACACTGCATCCTCCTGCTATGGGCATCAGATTTGCATATGTCCCTGCATCCTAGAGACACCACAGTGCCACAGTGGGACATGGGCCAGGCAACTCCTTGCAGCCTGCTGAGCGTTGCATGGTTTCTAACAAGCAACTCAGTTTTGTTAGCAATTAACAAATAATGAGCTTGCTGGAAAAGGCTGCAAGTGATTTACAGTTCACGAGGGGGAAGGATGTGTGTTGGCCAACCTGCGTTGCACCTTGGTGGGTGAAGATGAGGACAGCACAGCCATCCAGCCCCATAGAGGGACCTGAATCCTGGTCCCTTTTGTTGTTTGTACCCATCCCCAGGTAAAAGTGACGATGAAGACAGTGTTTGCAAAATGGGCCCAGCCTCAACAAAGGGAGCAGAGGAGGGGAAGGACCACAAGCGACCCAAGCGCCCACGCACCATCCTGACCACGCAACAGCGCAGGGCCTTCAAGGCATCCTTTGAGGTCTCCTCCAAGCCCTGCAGGAAGGTATGGGGACTCTGGGGGTGGCCTGGGGGCTGGGCAATAGCTTTGCCCCCTCCTGAATCCCCCATATCTTATGTGAGTCCCACTGAGATGTTGTTCCTCCTCCAGGTGCGGGAGACACTGGCAGCCGAGACAGGGCTGAGCGTACGTGTGGTGCAGGTCTGGTTCCAGAACCAGAGAGCAAAGGTGGGTTCAGGGGCCCCCTCCTGCCCTTCCCCGCAGCTGTGTCATGACCCTCTGCTCTTTCCCCTTCTTTTCACCCAGATGAAGAAACTGGCCAGGAGGCAGCAGCAGCAACAGCAGGACCAGCAGAACACACAGAGATTGAGCTCAGGTACCCAACCCTCCCCATTTCCCACCCCAAAAGGCCCTCTCCGGGCCTTCCAAGCCTTTCCACCAAAAAACCATAACCCCACCATGCCAACAACTCGCTCCTGTCTTGCAGCCCAGCCAAACAGCAGTGGCCCTGGGGGGCTGGAGGGGCTTATGAACCCCTACACCGCTCTGCAACCCCCACAGCAGCTCCTGGGCATGGAGCAGGTCTATAGCTCCGACCCCTTCCGGCAAGGGCTCACCCCCCCGCAGATGCCTGGAGACCACATGCACCCCTATGGTAAGGCTGTAGGGAGAGGGGGAGCAGGCCACAAATCCCCTGGATTTGCACTCTTGTTTGTCCTCACAATGTCAAAGGGTGGGCTGCATGATAGGGGTGTAGCAAGTTATGGGAAGGCAGCAATCTCTGCTGCCGTAAAACCCCCGCAGTGCAAAACTGGTGGCCAGCAGCTGGACTCAAAGCCAAGGGGAGCAGAAAGAAGGCAGCTCTGGTAGGAAGGTTATGAGTGCCATCTCCCCCATGATGGTGCCGCCTCCATCCTAATAGTTCCACCATCTCTCTGCTGATGCCATCTCAGCATCTCTGACGGTGCCAGCACCTCTCTGATGATGTTAATGCATATGGGTTTAGCACCCTGGCATGGCACAGCACCCCCAGAACATCTCAGCAGGCTTTTGCTGTCCCAGTAGGAGCCGGCTGCAGACATTGGGATCTGCAGCAGTATGCAGCATCCCTTCAGCACTGCTCCCTCCTTTCTCCCCAAGGTGCTGAGCCCCTCTTCCATGATATGGACAGCGACGATACCTCACTGAGCAACCTGGGTGACTGCTTCCTTGCCACGGCAGATGCGGGGCCACTGCAGACACGGGCAGGGAACCCCATCGACCACCTGTATTCCATGCAGAGCTCTTACTTCACCTCCTGAGCATGGCAGAGCTCTGCAACGGCACATTGTCCCATGACATTTTGTAGCTCGGGATGCCCAGGGACCCAACAAATTTTGGGTTGCATAGTTTCACGTTTCTCTTAGGATCCTAGGGTTAGGGGCAGGTTGGGCAGCTGGCGGGTTGGATTCAGGTTGCCGTGCAGATGTAGAAGCCTGGAGACGTCTCCCCAGGATGTGGGGCTGGGTGTACGTGTGTGGCACGCGTGTGTGCAGAGCCGTGCGGCTGTGTGCGGGGATGTCCCGCCAGATTGTATCCACAAAGTTTATTCCTAAGTCTATCAGAAATTTACTGTACAGTGAAAGTAACTTTATTTTCAGCGTGAACCATATTTAAGGAAATACTCAATGCACTTAAGTTATAAGATGAAATAATTTACTTTTTATAAACGTTATGTTTAGGTTGCAAAAGCCCAGCGGCAGGGAAGGAACACCTGTTTGTTTCAGGAGGTAGGTCTGGGTTTTGGGGTTGGTTCTTTTCGGTACTCTCAGGTTACCCCACTTGTTTTGAGGTGAATTCTGCAGCAGATTCCTCACCAGAAGGGTGGTGGGGACAGCAAGGTGATGGCATCCTGTCCCTGCCACTCAGTGTGGCTGGTGCTTGGTGCTGGAGCTGGAGACATCCCCACCTCTCTCCTCCAGCACAGACCCATCCCATACCCAGAGGTGGGTGATGGGGTGGTGTGGAGTGATGTCCTGGCTCCGGGAGGCACCAGCCCATGCTGCCAGGAGGAAGGAGCCTTGCATCTCCCACCCTATGCACAGGTCCATCTCTGCAAGTTCTCCAGGTCGAGCTTTCAGCCGACCATCGCCTCATCCCCGTCTCGTTTTCATGCGTTGTGTCCCTTTGTGCTGCTGTTCCCAAACAATATAAAGACATGCAATGAATAGCTGCGAGGCTCAGAACACTGGTTGATTGGCACAGCTTGATTTGACACTGAATGTAGCAGGGTCTGGAGGTGGCTGACCCGGCAGGAGATGCTGACACTGTCAGGAATCACGTAGCAAGGTGAAATTAAAAGTCAACAAAAAAAATCAACAGACATGTCTGGTCTCTTCTTGTGTGGGGTGTCCTGTTGACTCGGAAGGGAAGTGTTTGGATAATCTCCTGAGTCAGCAAGGTGTTGGGTATTGCTTCTTCTCTTTGGGTATTAAATATACGGGGAGGGTCAGGTTGGAAATCAAGAAAACATTCTTCACCAAAGGGTGGTGGGGACAGGCTCCCCAGGGCAGTGGTCATGACACAGAGCTGCCAGAGTTCAGTGAGTATTTGGACAACATTCTCTGTCACATGGTCTGAGTTTTGGGTGGTCCTGTGTGGAGCCAACAGTGGGACTCCACGATCCTTACAGGTTCCTTCCAATGTGGGATATTCTATGGTTCTATGATCAAATATTGTCTGTCCTGGGGCTGTACTGAGCCTTGAGCGTCTCCGCAGTCAAGGAATGGAGGTGAGTGGCTCTAGAAGTGACACATCTTTCATCAGTGCCCACAACCCAAGGGGATGAGGACTGCTCCATCCATCTGGCACAGGAAAATAGCTGGAATTTTCTGGTATGAACAGGATGGGGAATTACTGCTTGGGATTTCTCTGCCACTTGGCTTAGTGGTCTTGGAGAAATGCTGGCTGGTGCTAGGGGGGCGGAGGGGATCTGGGCAAGGTGATATTCACAGTGGGATGAAAGTGAAGATGTGCTCTGCTTGTGGGAAGAAGGCTTTAGGAAGGACGGAGGATGTGTGGTGTGGAGGAAATGCCATGAAGCGAGCATGAGCCTGATTTTAGGATCCAGGTGTACATAATATCTGGGTTAACACCACCCAGGCTTGATTTTCCCACTCATGATTATTAAAATTGCCTTAAAAATTGCCTCGCTTGGGTGTTTCTTAAAACATTGCATTTTAAGTTTTTTAAGAAAAAAAAAATATTTAAAGATGAAAGGTTTGCCTTCCCCACCCACAGCTATCTCCTATTTGAAAAACGTTAATCTACATCAGGCTGCCTTTCTGTCAGCCCAACTATCAATTTATACTTATGAAATTACTTCCCCCAAAATAACCCCCCCATAAAATCACACAGACAGCTTGCCTACTTCTTTCAAAATCTTGCAAAAATGTAGTGGCAATATAATAGGAGTATCTCAAAGCATGTGCATATACATGAGTATTATTATTAAATATGTAGTGTGCATATATATTTTTGGGAAGGATCAGTGTTGTGGAAAGGGGTAGAATGTCATCTGGCAGAGTTCATGGTCTTAAACCTACCCTTCTCCTGCCAATTGGTTTGTTCTTGACGCAGTTCATCATGTAAGGGTGCAATCCAGCAGTGCACACATCCTCCTGTCCACCCAGATGTGATGCTCTGGTGTGCTTTATTTTGGAATGCGGACTGCTCCTGCCAAGGAAAACCATCTGGACTTTATCTTCTGAGGAGACTTAGTTACAGTATGGCAGATGACTTCTTGTCAAGGCTGCTGGGGTGTTGGTGGGCAGTGGGTTTGTTGCACCTTGGGCTGGCCCCATTGGATGGATTGTTGTGATGCTGTGCTGCCATACAGTGCTCCATGCCCGAGCCAGCTCCCAGCCCACAGAGCAGCTCTCCGGGATGAATGGCAGCTTCTTGTCAAGCCCAGGAAGAAAAGAACAAGGTCATGAAAACAGGCTCTACCTCGCTCTCCAAGGCAAGAGCAACAGCAGGATGGGGTTGGGAGCCGACCTTCACGTCCCCAGTGACTTGGTGAACAAAGCCTTCTCTGTTCAGGAGCTGCTCGGTGGCCAAGATCAAGCCAGAGATTGCCTTTCAGTTGAGGACACTGATTAGATGATACCGATAGGCGGGAGCAAGCTGAGTGATACTATGTTAATTAACTCGCTCTCTGTGAATGGATGGTATAGGATCTTGGGGCAGAGGCAGACTTGGAAGAAATTCAAAATGGTCTTGGCCAATACTGCGTTTGCATTTGGAGATTTAAACTGTGCTGGTATTTCTAGGTATGTGCAGACACAGAGCAGGAGCAAGCAGACTTCCTGCAAGAGTGTGACCTTGGTAGTGGAGGCTGTCTCAGAAGTCTGCCCAGGGAAGACACAGGCAAGGTCTTTCCCTGCAATCAGACACGGGGGGCGGCAAATGGTGCTTTCCTGGTGGGAAAAGAAAAGGCTCTGGTTGCTCCTGACACCTTTCCAGAGCAAAATCATTTGCCAGATGTCTGATATCTAAACCGATGCTGTTCTGGGCATAAAATGTCACCCATCATTAGAAAATGCTTGTGTCTTGTGACACATGATATGGCTCAAACCACTGAGGACGAGTGTCTTGGCCTTATGGTAGGTCTGTGAGCGAGATCCAAGGTAACACCAGCTGTCCAGATCTGAGACTTGCATTTGCTAAGTCATTTTCTTCCACTGCTTAGCTGCATGGAAAGTTCCCTTAAAGCAGCTTGTGTGAAAAGGCTAAGACTTGCAGTGGAAAGGCAGGAAAAGGGCGAGGAGCTCTTTAGGTGTTAAAAGGTGAATAGTAGTTTCTTATCTAGTTGGAGATCAAACTGAATTCTTGTCTCCATTCCTCCGAGTGGCAACATGTTGGTCATGAAAAGGTTATCCTGTCAGCTGTAGACCTCCTAGACACCAACATGGAGGCTGACATGCGCTAACTTGGTTAACATATATAAGTTCACAGGCTGAGGACGAGCGTATCCAACTGCGAACCATGTCAAAACACTCCAACTGATCAAATACTGACAGCACTTTCGGTGAAGAACAGCAGATTCCCACTGCCTCAGGCCCTCTGTGCTGCTGCTTCAGAGGGGAGCTCAGGTTTCGGCCTGACCCCAAGAACAGGGGGCTCATTCAGAGGATGCTTGGTGGGTTGGATCATGGGTTTGGTGCGGTGTGAATCCCTGCCAGAGCACGGGGATGGGCAGCAGGCCATGGAACAGGAGCTGGTGGCAAACCCCAGTGAGCAACATCCTTGCGTCCTCACAGGCTAGGTGGCTGTAAGTGGGGTGAAGAGCTGATGACCCCAGTGACCAATCTTCATTAGGATTATGAGAGAGTCCAGGCAGGCTCAGTGCTCTGGAGAGCCAAGCTTCGGCAACTCAGATGGATGAAACCATCTGGCCCCCAGTAGTTCTAACTCTCCTTGTGCTCTATTTCTTGCAATTGTATCTGCTTCGGAGAGGAGGCACTGTGAAGGGAGGTATCCACTGGCTTCTCAGTGCTTTCCCAAGAGCATCTGTAAGGAAACAAGCCTGTGCTCAACACAGGCTCAATAACATGTGAGCATGGTGGGTCCTGAGGCTGTGCACGGGAGGAGGATATGGAAAATACTGAAAACCCAACTGTTTGCTGAGTGAGGCATGGACCGTGTGGAAAACATAGCATGAGGTCATGGAACTGAAGATGTAGCGTAATGCCTGTGCCTTGGGTGGCTGATTATGTTGTCCTGACAACCCAGTGCTGGTGTCCCGGGGTTGGAGGGTTTGGCTGTGCAGTCAGGAACATGTAGGTATGTGGGAAGTAACTGGAGAGCCCCCGAGGAGTGTGGGGAGAGGAGACCAGAGAAACTCTTCCAAAAGGATCAGTTGGAGCGTGCCAGAAGATATAACTGCCTGCTGGCTGCTTGGTCTCCTCCTGGAGTAGGTGGAGGGAGTGAGAAAGGAGCGGTGACATCCCGATGCTGCCAGGAGGGGACACTGAATCCAGAGAAATGCATTGGTCTGGCAAGGAGCTAGACCTGCAAAGCCCAGTGGTGGGTGATGTCCTCAAGGGCATCCAACCTTCTGGGAAGCAGTGGTGGGACTCAGAGCCCTTATGGTACCCCAGAAATGGCTGAGCTGTTTTGTCTCTTTCCTGGGCTTTACATGTCCCATAAATTAAAGGCTAATCACTTGCTTCAGAAGGCTTTTAAGTGCAAACAAGCTTCATCAAGATGGTGAAATTGCCTCTTAATTGATTATTCCTGCAGTTTAACAGCTGTCTCCCCAACTTGCTTAATTTCTCCTTTCCTCAAAACACAAATCTGCTGTTGGTACAACCAGCTCACCTCCAGCCAGGAGCTCAGGAGGAGCTGACAAATGCGTGTGGCTGTGCTGGCTTCTGCAGCCGGATCGCTGGGAGTGGAGAGGCCGTTGGACAGGGCTGGAGCTATAGGAAAAGAGCTCCCCAAACACACCGCTGAGCAGCAGGGATGCTGTGGTTTTAACCCTCCCTGTCACATCCTCAGAGCCACTGTGTGTCAAGGAGAAGGGTCCTGTTTCATCCCACAGCCTCAGGCCACCCGAGCTTTGGTGCTGCCTGACCGTGTGCGCCGGGCCAGCCCTACTGATAGCATCGGGGTAAGTACAGTAGGGGCTTTGTGGTTGTGGGGATCTGGTTACCTGGGAACAACTCTGCACCCAGGGAGGATGATGACAATGTACCCGGGGGGAATGGGGACTTGGAAATAGGATGACAGTGCCAGCTAGTGAACTCCTATGTGATGGTTTCTGGGTGCTTCCCAAGCAAGCAGTCTGCAGGATCCCTGCTTGCAGCAGGTGACCTGGTTTTGGATGCTGTGGGGTCTCTGTGCTGGACCACAGCCCCTACAGGACAGGTGTTCCCTTCCCAGCTGCCCTTGTAGGTCCCACTTTGCAAACCCAGCAAGACTATCTCTTGTGCCACTCTCTTTCCCAGCAAATGTTCCTAGCTGGCTTTTATTTAAATTTATTTCTTCCTAAAAGGAATAAATTCTTCACTCAGAGGGCGGTGAGGCGCTGGCACTGCTGTCCAGAGCTGTGGGTGCCCCGTCCCTGGAAGTGCCCCAGGCCATGGATGGGCCCTGGGCAGCCTGAGCTGGGGGGCAGCCAACCCATGGCATGAGTGGAGCTGGGGAGGCTTTGGCATCCCTTCCAACCCAACCATACTGGGATTCTGCTTAAAACCTGTGAAATTACCTGACCTAACTTCCTTAACCCAGTAGTT